TGGCTTCGCTGGCGCTGCCACCTGCGGGCGGAGGCGAGCGCTGTGCTGGAAGCAGCTCGGTGCCGGGGGGCGGGGGGGCCGAGCTGCAGGCAGTCCCGGTTTAGCGGGAGGGGGCCCTCGTCACTCTCCGCGCTGGGTCAGGTCGACGTGGAGCCCCAAGCTGTGCACGGGGGCCAGGGGAGCAGAGGGGGCGGGAGACGACGGAGAAGGCGAAGGTGGTCCCCCTTCCGCCAATGTGTTCCAGCTGAACAGACGGCGAGAGGGGAAGCGCCAGTCCCCGGGGGCCTCTTCTCCCTCTCTGCCCCTACCGCTCCGTGGCTCCATCCGGCGTGCCGGTCCCAGGACCCTGCGCGGCTGCCTGGACTGCAGCAAGGGCTCCGGTTCCAGGCCAGGCTCCTCTCCTCACTGCACCTCCCGAGGAGCACGTGGAGCTGGCACCTGGAAGGGTCCATGGGAGCTGCAGCTCAGCTCCGGGCCAGACTGAGCTCCAGCGCTCAGTCCTGCAGGACGAGCCAGCGCGTGTGTGTGGGAGGGGTCCTCCGAGCACGGAAAGAGGGCCTGCCCCTCACTTCTGAGTAGCCTGCAACTCGCATGCCCAGATCCCATGGAGATTTTCAGGAACTCTGTGCCAAGACTCCCTTTCCTTCGGCGTGAAATCTCAGCTCCTGACCTCATGTTCACCCGTTCCAAGGAACTTTCCCAAGCAGCCCCATCAGAAACCACTTTGAATCGCCTGAGCTTGCGGGACCAGAGTAGCCCAGATCCCTCCTTGCTTGCAAGATGATCTCATCCGAACTTGGACATCAGCTCCGTGCGCAGCCAGCCAGGCGCCTTCAGGTGCCACCCCAGACCCTGCACCTCCCAGGATTCCCGCGCTGGCCAAGGAGTGCTGGCGCCGCAGGTCGCCTCCTGCTCTGGGTTCCACCCCGGGGAATGCTGGGAGATCCTCCGGCCCAGGCCTGCGGGGTCTGGCCGGCTCCCGGCAAGCGCAGCGGGAGAGGCCCGGATCTGCAGGCACTGAGCAGCAGCCCGGTACGCCGTTCTTACGGGTGGCCCCGTGGAACGCTTCAAAGGCCACTGCTTCCACTGGACACAGAAGAGAAGAGCCCCGTCGAGGCCGCGGAGTTCCTTCAGCCACTCGGCCACCCAGAAGGCGCGTGCCTCCGAGGACCCTGGCATGGTAGCGCCGGAAGGGGCCGAGAAGGCCGCTGGGTCCACCCCCTGCTGCTGCAGGACACCCCGTTACACCCTCCCGCTCGGAGGGCTGTCCGGTTGCACCTTGGATGCCTCCAGTGCGGGAGAGCCCCCCACCTCCCCGGGCAGCCGGTCCCACTGCCGTGTTGCTCTGACAGGGAGGAAGCTCTTCCCAGGCGGGCCTCCCGGGTCGCGCCTGCTTCACCAGGGAGCAACCTGGCCGGCTCTGCTCTTCCCGGTGGCTCCTTTAGAAGTTCGAGGCACTGGGGGCTGCCTGGAGGGACCCCGGACGATCACGGCCCTGCACTGGAGGGCGGCATCGGGCCGCGCGCCGTTGTCTGGAGGGGGGCGTGGGCCGGCGTGGCGGGCACTCCTCCTTTGCCTTCGGCCGCCCCTGCTGCACCCCCTTCCCTCGGTCCGTCCGCTGCTGGAGGGGCACCCGGAGCGTGCGCGGGGCAGAGGCTCCTGGCAGCCGTGCCGTGAGGGGGACGCCCTCCCAAAGCCGGTCTTCTTCCGGCCTCCAAGGCCTTCTTTGCAGGGATTCCCCCGGAGGCAGGCGCAGGGAGGCCGCTCCCGGCACGGAGGTGGGCCGGGGCAGCCACCCGGTGGGGCAAGGGGAGGTGGGAAGGGCCCTGTCCGAGTGGGGCATGCGAGGGCCCCGGGGCGGGGGGCGAGAGGGGGCTCCGCGTGCTTGCCTCTGGGCTGCATCGAGGCTGGCTGCCGGCTGCCCGTCTCCCAGAGGCCCGCCCGGCTTTCCTGGGGACCCCCACCCCTGCGCCGGCCCTCCTCCCACCTCCAGTGCCTTCCCCCTCCCGCAGGCTGTCCCCGGCGGCCTTGATCCACTAAGTAAAACCTGCCTCGAAGGCCACCCGCAATCACGCTGGCGTGGAACACTGGCACGCCTCCTGCTTCCCATCAGCCCCGGCCCTGTTTGTTTGTGAATTAATAACGCTGGTGCTCTGCTGAGTTATTGATCTCCCTTTCGCGCGGCACAAGAGCAAGATGCAGGAGCAGATCAATGAGCAGATGATGGCCGAGCGCTGATGAACTCACGCAGAATCCAGTCGGTCCATCACCGGGACCTGCGCAGGGACCTCGGGCGGGAGACGGGGCCAGGAGCCTTCGCGAGCGTCATCTGCAAAGGGAAAGCCGCTCTGGCCCAGGGCTCTGCCCCAAACCTGCCGCCCGAGCCGCCCATCGCCGTGGCTCCCGACCGGACCCGCAATGCAGGAAGGCCGGGGATCGAACACTGCTCCCCCGGGAGCTCACCGGGCAAGCTGCCCCCTCCGCCGACCCCTCCCGGCCACACGGGGGCGGGGGAGGGACGCTTGCCTGTCCCTGCCCTACGGGCTGCGGGCACCATGTGAAGGCAGCGCTCGCGATGTGCCGAAAGGGCCACAGAAACCCTCATTGTGGGTGTTGTCAAACTCTTGGGAGGCATAAGCAGGCATGTCCGTCCTGATGCGGCGCGGCAGCTTTGACCGAGTCGGAGGCGGATGCAGCCACGTGGGCCTCAGCAAGGCGGCCCGATAATGTGAAGGGCTGAGACCCCCGCCCCACTCCTCTAGAAGGGGCTGGAGCCACAGCCTTGGCGCATGACGCGGTCCGGCGGGTGGCCAGGGGCTCCCGGTCCTGTTGCGGATCCGCCCAGCCCTCTTGGCCACGCCAAAGCCTTCTGGGTTGCCCAGCCGGGGGGGGGGGGGGGGTCCTGGGGTAATCCTTGCCCCCTTGAAAGCTGCGTTTCCAGACCTTTTCGGCAGCCCGTGCTGTTTGGGTCTCTCGCCTCTGCGTTTACTTGTGGGGCTCCTTCGTTTCCGCATCTTGGGTGTGGGGCAGCTGCAGCAGACAAATGCCGATGAAATAACATCCTTTGGGCGACGGGTCCTTTCCCGCGGTGGCCCCGTCTCTGCAGAATGCCCTGCATGACATGCGCGCCGGCTCCTTCTTGGGCTACTTTTTCAGCAGGCCTTCCAAAGCGGAATAGTCCAGAGCGCTTCATAAATGAGTCGAAGCAGCTCCTGGGTCATTTTTTATGCCGTGACTGTGGCTTTACCGGTTGGAAGCTGCGCTTTTACGTCCCTGCATTATAGATCGTGACACTCGACACTCTGATCTTGCAGAGCACCTCGCTCGCCTCGAGCGCCAATAAAAAGCATCCCAGAGAAACACCTGCGGCGGGACGGGATGGGGCGCCCAGGAGGGCGAGGTCCAGCGCGAGCCCACGGAAGACGCCCTTCCCGCACCTCCTGCGGCTTCCGCTCGTGAGCCCTGCTATTGTGCACCTCTCTGCACAGCAGTGGGTCCCTGGCCCTCCGAGCCCCTCTTCCCCGTGGCGTCGACTGCGGAAGACGCTGGCCGTCTGCCGGTCACTTTTTCCACCGGGCAACCCACTGGGCGCTCACACCATGGAGGAGCCACGTCCCGTGGGAGGCAGCCACAGTTTCTCTGCAGAGGGCTGGGGGAGCTTCGGGTGCGCAGGCACTGGCGATGGGGTGCCCCCCCCCCCCGTGTGCTCTGGCTGCACTGGGCTTTTTACCAGTGAACTGCCTGACGTGGGAACCGTTGGCCAAAACTGGTCGGCACTCCAGCGGTTCGAGCCCAGCCTCTGCCAGAGGGACTGAGCTCCCCGGCTCCCAGCCGGCCTAGCAGTTCGAAAGCGCATCATGCGAGTAAATAGATAGGTGCCACCTTGGTGGGAAGGTGATGGCGCTCCGTGGCATCATGCTGGCCACGTGACGCAGGACCATCTTCAGATGGCGCTGGCTCACGGCCTTAGAAACAGAGAAGAGCACTGCCCCCATGAGCCGAGCGGAGTAAAATCCACGGGGACTCCTTCGCCTTCACTTTTTACAACCTGCAACCTGACTGAACCAGGGGCAGCCTGGAGACCAGCAGGAAGCCACAGCCGTGGCGGCTCTGGAGGGCCGCGTCCTTTCGGAAGGCTTTCATTCCGGGGGGCACGCTAAGCTGGAGGCGGCCTGAGCACACAGCCACTGCCTCCACCACGGACACGTGAAGCCGCGGCTGCATCCCAGAAAGCCCACTGCGGGCCTCCCGCTCAGAGCATGGTGCCCTCAGGACAACCCTTCCGGCGTGCCCCCAGCCTCAGCCCCCCGCTCTGTGCAATGGGATGGGGTGGTCATCCAGCGGGAGTGAGAGGCTTACGGGCACATGTTCCGTCCCGGGCGGCGGCCACGGGGAGAGCCGGCACATGTGCGGCACGTGGGGCAGGGGCAGCGCTGGGGGGTCCGCGTGTCAGGAGAGGCTCCTTCCAGCGCGGCAAGGCACTTTCTCGGCAAATCGCTCCTTCACACTCCCTTCCTCTCCTCTGGTTGCCCTTTTCATCTTGCTCACATTTCAGATCTGCTAGGAGAGTTCCCCGGCCCCTCCGGGAGGAATCGCTCAGGTTAAGAAACACTAATATAAAGCAAATAAAGACTGTCTTCCCGGGGAATCTGGACTCCCCCGCAGCAATCAGCCGTAAGCGCGCCATTACCCGGCCCGGCTGAGGGACTCTCTCGCCGCCATGAAGAACTTGGCTGTTAACACCAAACTGCTAATGCGCCGTGCGCTGGTTCTCAGCCGGGGGGGGACGCCATCACTCGGCCGGCCCTAAACAGTCCTCAGGTCTCCGGCGGCAATAAATCGCGCTCGTTTTGGCCCGTCCCGGCGCAGTTCAGCTTTCCCGTGGACTGGGGGGGAGGGGGGAGGCTGGGTCAAACGCTGCAGGCAGATGGGTGGGAGTGGGGGGTCCGGTCAGCGGGGCGGCCAAGGGAACAGAAGGGCCTGGGAAAGGTGAGGCCCGGATGGCGGAGCAGCTGCACTGGGCCGGCGGGGGAGCCGTCCAGGCCAGTCCTCTGCCCGCCTGCCTCACAGCAGCGGTCCCAGAGGGCCCTGGAGAGCCCCCCGCACTCCCGGAAGCCCCCCCGCTGCGAGGCGGTTTGTGCGTGGAGAAGCCGGGCAGCCACCCGGCCCCGGCCTGTGCAAGGAAAGCCACGGAACCCGGAGCCGAGCCCACTGCAGGCAGCCGCTGCCCCCAGCACTGTCGTGACACGGGCAGGCGCGGGGCGGGCAGACTGACATCCAGCCGCCTGCCACGTATGGAGACACAGAAACTGAGCGAGCCAGAAGGGGCTCCTGGGCCATCTAGTCTGACCCTCCTGCAGCCGGCTCTGCTCATGACAAGTGCAACCCACTACCTCTCGCACGGAATATAGTACAGTATGCAACCTGCAGCAGGGCAGGGCTTCTCAGGTGCCTGATAAGCCAAGCTCAAGCCCCGCACCGTCCCGGGTCTGGGCAGCGCGCCAAGACACTCTCTCTCGAAGCCACGGTGACTCAATGCGCTGCACGGACTCACTCCCCGGCTGCAACCAATGCTTGGCGAAACCACAATGCGCTTGCGCTTCACGCAGATTTCATTAACAAGGAGCATGTTTCCATTCTCCTTGTGAAAAAAGCAGAAACCTTCTTGCACGCCCCGTAAGTGCCGCTTATGTCTGGCCACGCAGGCCCCCCGGCGTGCGCATTTCGGCCCAGCCCCAAATCACGCCCCGCGCGGCAACCCTTCCTGAACTCTCACGCTCCATGAATAAACAATGCTGCGATTCTCGGCAGATGGAGCGCCAGGGCCGACATGCACAGAGCTGTGCACGCTCCCCTGGGAGTCCCTTTTCACACTTTTAAAGAGTTGCGAGTTTTTAAAAATACCGAGCTGTGAAACGCAGTGACCCACGCTTAGTGTGGTGCTCGCAACCGGCCTGCTCTGATGCCGCCAAACTAGACCGGGCGCCTCTTCTGCTGCGCCTCAAATGCCGGGGGCGTTTTAGCATGAGCTCGCGGGACTCACAGGCCCCACGGCATGCCATGGGTCCAGCCGCTGGCCGGCCTCGCCCTTCCCCTGCCCGCCTGCTGCTCCCCGGCCGCCACCGTGCCGTGGCTCCCCAGCCCCGCTCTGAAAGGCTGCCGTGCTCTGCTGGGAGCTGTGCGCCAGCGGGGGAGCTTCTGGCCGGCCCATGTGTCGCTGGCTCTGCTGGCCACTTGCCGCGGCCCAGAAGCTCCCCGGCGTTGCTGCGGCCCTCCGGCCAAGGGGATTTCAACCCCCTGCGCTGGCCGGGGCCGTCCCGGAGAGCGCGGGGCCGACTGTTGCTCCCTGCAGGCTGCTCGCGTGCCTCGCGGTCGGACTCGGGCGGGCAGGAGGCGGCGCAGGAGCAGCTGCGTGGGAAGGCTCGGTGGGTCGAGGTGGCCTCGTGAGGCGGCTCGGGCAGGGAAGGAACCTGCTCTGGAAGGGATGGAAGGGGGGGGGGGGGGAGCGTCTGCGGGACACCGTCCTTGGCCCGGGGAGGCGGCATCGGGAGAGCTGAGCTGCTCCGCGAGGGGCCCTGTGGCTCTCGCCATCTCGCTCTGCAGAGGAGAGAGGCCCCCGGGGGGAGGCAGGAGCTGCTCGGGGGAGGTTCCAGTTTGCGTTCAGCTCTTTTCATGAGCAGAGGCCTCTCTCTCCATCTTCGGCAGGTTATTTGGAGCCCACGCTGTTCTGCGATCTGTCGAATTCCAGTGAAAGAGCTACACTCCAAAGGGCTGCCTCGAGTTTGAGGCAGGAGGGAGGGGAGCAGCACACAGCCCTGCCCTCCGAGCAGCTCCAGCAGCCCTCCCAAGCCCCCCACCTGGCCCGCCTTGAACACGCCGTGCCAGAGACTCACTGCAGGTTGCTGTGCGTGCAGAGCAACGGCCCTCTGCCCGGGCCTTCCCGCAAAGCCCCAGCGCCAGCCCGTGCGCTCCTGAGCGGCAGGGTCCTGAGCAGAGCGAGCCCCTGCCTCGGCCAGCGCAGCCACACCGGGGCCTGGTGGCGGCCCTGGGAAGGGGCATTCACACTTGCGGTGGCAAGCGCAGAATCTCTGCAGGGCTGGCCGCCACGAGCCACCAGAGCCTGGCAAGAGCAAGTCGGAGCAGCAGGGCTGGAAGGCCCCCGGAAGGCCCCCAGGCAGGCGCAGGGCTCCCAGTTGAAGCATCCGCTCAGAGGGCTGCCCAGTTGCTTCCTGAGCGCCTCCAGCGTGGGAGAGCCCCCCACCTCCCTGGGGCACAGGCTCCATTGTCGTCCTGCTCAGAGGGTCAGGAAGTTCTTCCTGATATCTAGCCGGAAGGTGGCCCCCTGCAACTTGAGCCCCCAATTCCGTGTCCTGCACTCCGGGATGTCTGGGAAAAGATCCTGCCCTCCCTTCCTTTTGGGACAGCCTGAAGGACCGGCAGATGGACGGATCACCCCTCAAGGACACCATCTCCCCTCAGCCTTTTCATCTCGAGGCCAAACATGCCTGGTTCTGCCAATCTCTCCTCACGGGGCTTGGTCTCCAGCCCCCGGATCATCCTTGTGGCTCTGCTCTTGGAAACATCCTGTTTCTCTGCATCTCCCTTCAACTGCCATGCCCAGAAGTGGACCCAGGATTCCAGAGGAGGCCCAACCAGCGTCGAGGAAAGAGGAGCTGGCACCGTGGGGTTTGGAAGTGTCGCTTCCACTTGTGCAGCCTAAAAGAAGCACCTGCCCTTTTCGCAGCCCCATCACACTGTCGACTCGTTCAGCTTGTGAGCTGTTCCAAGAGCCTTCTCACTCGCAGTGTTGTTGAGCCAAGTGTTCCCCCTCTTTGGGTTCCTTTTCCTAGGTGCAGGACTTGCCTCTGAATTTCATTCTGTGGTTTTCAACCCAGCGCTCCTGCCTCCCTGAATCTTCACCCGTCACCTTGACCCTTCTTTCTGTCTTCCAGAGCAGTAGCTATTCTACCCAGTTTTGCGTCATCTACAAATCTGAGGATTGTCCCCTGCACTTCCTCACCTGAGTCATTAATGAAAACGTTGAAGAGTGCTGGGGCCAGGACTGGACCCCATGGCGCTCCACTTATTTCCTCCCCCCATCTTGAGAAGGCACCGTTGACGAGTGCTCTTTGAGTCCAATTCTGTAGACAACTGTGGATCCACCTAATTGAAGTTCCACTGGGCCAACTTTTAGCTCGCTTGCTAATCGGGATATCAAAAGCTTTGCTGAAGTCAAGATAGATTATGTTCGCAGCATTCCCACAGTCCCCCAGGGAGGGTACCCAATCAGAAAATGAAATCAGATTAGTTTAGCGGGATTTGTCCTTGAGGAATCCATGTTGGCTTCCAGTAATCACTGCATTGTTTGCAGACTTACTGCCTTATAATCTGCTCCAGAATTTCCCCAGGGATTCCCTTGTCTGCAGCCCCAGGTCCGTCGCATTTTCATCTCTTCAAGACAGGGAGGACATCGATCCTCCTCCAGCCACCTGGCACTTCTCCTGTCCTCCATGATGCCGGGCAGTGGTCCGGAGAGCTCTTCTGCCCGCCCCTCTATGACCCCAGGAAGGAGTTCACTGGGCCCTGGAGATCCGAACTCATTCAACCCAATCCTGGACCATCTGCCTGCCAATCCGGAGCTGCCACCCTGTCCTTCAGCTTGTACTTCTTCCCCTTCTTCAGGAAGGTCACAGCTCTCCTTTGGGGAGAAGACTGAGCCAACATAGGAACGGAGCGCTTCTGCCTTTTCCTTGTTATTTATTCTTGTTCCGCCATCCACACTGACTAACTGAACCCGTTCCTTTCCTCTGTCTTTTACTTGGACGTATCAGAAGAAGGGGACGTTTTGGTTGCTTCTGGCATCCCTCGCCGGCCTCAGTTCATCCCCAGCTTTGGCCTTCCTGACGCCTCCCCAGTTCCGTGCTGTCTGCTCGCAGTCCTCCCTCGGAGTCTGGCCTTCCTTCCACTTCCTACACGAGGGGCCCTGTTTTGTTTTCAGATCATCTGTGAGCTTTCCGTGAAGCCACATGGGCTTCTTTTGTCGTCTTCCACCCTTTTCCCTTGTTGGAATTGTTTGTAAATGTGACTTTAGAATTTGCTTTCTTTAAAATTCCCTCCCATCTTGGACTCCTTTTCTCATTACAGTCACTTCCCACAAGTGCTTGCTTATCATTGTTCTGAGTGTATTAAAATTAGCTTTCCTAAAGCCAGGGCAGGCTAGATTTGACTTCTGCTTTCCTCAGAGCCAAGAATTCCAGAATGGCACAGCCGCTTTCCCCAGTGTTCCCACAGCTGCCATTTTGCCCACTGGGTCCATCAGAGGAAACAAAAGCGAACGCTAACAAAGAGCACTGATTCTCCTTGATGCTGGACTGCAGGTAACTTTTCTGAACAAGGGAAGAAACCTGCTACTGCTTTAGTGACTCACAGGTTGCTAAGTGTTTCCCCCTGGTGCCTGAAACATTGAATTTGCAAACTAAATTCTATCTTCTCATCAATAATCACGCAGTGGAAGCCAACCACAAAATCTTTTCGGAGACAGAAACATAAAAATTATCTCAGACACCATTAATAACAGATATTGATTGGCTTAAGTGCAAGTCTATGCATATGCATAAATTACACTGTAAAATCAATACAGTTTTACACTTATTCTATTGAACTGCATTATTAAAAAATCCCTCCAAAATTATAAATACTCAGCTACGAACACCCCTGCCAATTGAAAAATATAATAAGTCAGGTTCCCTATTGTTTCGAAGGTCTATTACAAGAGAATAGGCACTTTAAATCAAGTTAACAAAGATATACCCCCAAAATCAATTCCTGGATTTGTACTATGGCTACCGAACTTCACGAAAAAACAGAGTGCCTTCCTCGTGTGGAAGGAAGTGGCACATTCAGCCGAAAGCCTCTGCAGCCCCTGAACGCTGCTCGGCCATGGGGGGCTCCTTCAAAGCCCCCTCCTGCGGAATGGCAGGGCAGCGGCCACGGCGAGCGGGACACACCTGGGCTCCACCACGCGCAGGTGGCTGGTGGCCGACCGTCAGGCGATGGGGATGCCGAAGAGCCCGCAGGAGGGGAGGGAGGGCTTGAAGGACCCCCGCCACCTCCGGCCGAGGCCCAGTGTGGACCCCACATGCCGTTCTGGGCAGCCTCCCACCCCCACCCCTGGCTGGAAGGGTGGCGGGGCCTGTGCCCCTCTCTTCTCTGGACAGACTGGAAGGCGTTACCTGCAGTGCGGCGGGAAGCGCAGCCTGGACCGGGGAAGGGTGGCGCTCGTTGCTCCCTGTGCCGCCGCAGAAAAGGGTGCCCAGGGCGGTCGGGGCAGAGGAGCCCCACGGGCCGCTGACGGCAGGGCTGCCAGGGGGCCGTGCTTGGCCAGCGCCTCCCGTGCGGCAGCCAGAGAGCGAGTGCCGGCCCCGTCCTCCTGCATCCGCACACGGCTGGGCTGGGGAGCCCGTCCGGCCACGCCGAGGGCACGGCCGGCAGGATTTCCCAATCTTTCCTCCGCTGCACTTGATAAGTGCTTGGATTTGGCAAACTGCTTCTTTGCTAAGCCACATCAGAGAAGACGGAGCGGAAAGACCGCATGAGTGAGCAACTCTGTGTACATAACACACAAACACGCCCAAGTACAATTTACTTTAGCTGTGAGATTTGGGGTAGGAAACTCTAAGACAAATGTGACAGCGCCAACATTTGATGCAGAGAAATTGTCGATCTCCAGTGCTCTGGTCGTCTAGAAATACTTGCAAGTCAGCTTAATGGCTGATTAAGGAGAACAGGACTCAAACAATTTAATAGCTTTAACCAAGTCATGTGCTTTTGCAATCTCCCTCCAAATGGATTTCTTTCCAGGATAAGCTCAGGGGCTCCCTCCGGAGATAAATTTTAGAGGCAATGCTTGATATGAAATATATGTAAGTTTAAACAAAAGCAGAGATTATTGACTGATAAATGTATTTAAATATAGGAAGTCAATGCAAACCTAGTTTAATACCAAAGCATGTATGATATTGAGAATGGGTTGTCTCTGTTCTGGGGAGCAGTCCCTCCAAATATTTGGGGATGACAAGCTGCTGCATCGACGGGAAAAGTGACTCTTTCCCCTTTGAATCTATTCCAAACCCCCAAAGTCAAGCCCAGGCCCAAACTCCGCCGGGCTGAACCGGCTGCCTTCCTGGTTCCCTTCCCGAGTCCAGCGCGCCTTGTCGGCATGTTAAAACACCCCCTTCGAGTGTCTGTAGCAGACGGAGGGCACCTGAAGCTGGAGGGTGCCGCGGGCCGAAGGGCAGCTGCTCCTCTGAAGCGGGCTCCTCGTGCCCTTGCGCTGGAAGCCGAAGGGAGACGCGTTCCAGTATCTGCCGTCAGCCGGGAGACCCAGCACCGGTCCTTCGCCCCGCACACCCCTTCCCTCCTGCATCTTGTCATGATGGCTGGTAAACCCGGACGCTCGGCCTCTCCCCCCGCTCCTCATTTCTGGGAGCCATGCTGGGAAAAAAATTTGTTTGAAAAGCAGCATAAAACGGCAGCCAAGGAATGAAGCGGAATGGGGACCACTTTTGCTATTGTTCATTAATCAGCGCAGAGCAGGGAGCCTCCGGAAAGCCTTGCCAAGAGCTCCGGGTCCGCAGGATCCCTGGCCTGCTCCGACGCTTCTGGGCCCAATTCAAGGCGCCGCTTTTCACCATAAAGCCCGACGGGGCCCTGGGCCACAATCCATGGCGGAGCGCCTCTCCCAGCTGCTCTCTCCACATCTGCGAGACTCAAGATCTGGAGCCTGGCCCGGAGTGCCAGCCCCGGGAGAGGCTCAGAAGGTGGCCACAAGGGGGGGGGGCGTTCTCGGCAAGGCCCCCAACTGTTGGCGCGACCACCAGGTCAAGATGGCCCTTTACGCTGAGGCTTTTGAGGCTGCAGCTGGTTCCCCGGGGCTGGCAGGGACGACCGACGCCAGACAGGTCTCCTTTACAAAGTGATTCTCCATTGTTCATTTTTGCCGTTCCATTTTTTAAAATGCTTCTTTGGTATGATTTTATGGTGCTTTATTATATTGCACTGCATTATTTTTATATACTGTTGTGAGCCACCCAGAGAACTTCAACCTTGGGCAGTGTAGAAAGGAAGTAGATACACCTTCCTCCTCCTCCTCCTCCTCCTCACCATCATGGAAATGTCCAGGCCAAATCCTGCCTAGCAGCAAACCATGTTTGCATTTAATACAGCGCTGCAGACGGTTTGATGAAGTGCTCCCACTTCAGGTGCACCTCAGTTACGCAACGCCCTCATTTACGCAGGCAAACCCAAGAGAACGGGCAGCTCTGCTTCTGCTGTCACAAATCCCACAAAACCTTTGCGACAAACCCGGCAGGCGGGCAGCTCCACCGCCCAGACCAGAAACAGGAAGGAAAGGGCTGGCAGACGGCAGGCAGCGTCCACTCGGCCCCCTTGCTGAGCCGAGAGCCGGGCCGCCTGCCTCCTGGCCCTGCGCCAGCCTCCCCAGGGCGGCGCTCGCCCGGAACGGTCTCCTTCCCACTGCACGAAAGCCGCCCGACGCCTGGCAAGGGAGCCGTGCGGGAGCCCTCCGAGGCGTCCCAGCAAAGCCCTGGCCGGCGCCACCCGGCGGAGGGGCCTGCAGGCCCCCAGTCGAGCAGCCCAGACGGGGAGCGGGGTCGGCCTGGCGAGGAAAGGGCTCCTCCAGGGTGGCCCCCCTTGCTGAATGCCACCCTGGGAAGGCCCTCCGGGCACCGACTCTCGCGCCCACCCCGCACCTGCGGGAGCCCTTCACGCCCGCGTGGCGCTGCTGCTGGAGCGCGGGCTGCCTCGGTGGCCTCATTCGGGGAGACGCACGGCAAGCCTGGCGCAGCCCCAGCTCGTCTCGGTGTGCACCCCACGGCGCTGGGCTGCAGCACCGCTCCCCTCATCCCCGGCCAGGGCTGGGAAGGCTCCTCTATTGCCCCCGATGCTGGTCGGAACGGGGCGCACTAGAGGCCCTCGCTCTGAAGCTGGGCGCCCCCGAAGGGCCTCGAAGGGCCCTTAATCTCTGCCCCACAGGGGGCCCGCACGGGAGCCTGAGCCAGCCCCTCATCGGCATGCGGAGCGGCTCCTGAGCGCCCGGCCCTCCTCCCCAGTGCTGAGTGCGGCAGGTCTCCCCCCAGACGAGTCCCGGCGACAAAACAGGCGGCTTTGCCAAGGCCCACTGGACCGTCCCACCCTGGCTTGCCAAAGGGGAAGGAAGGGAGACAATCAATGCCACAGGACGTGCGTGTGTGTCACTCAGTTTGCGGCCCGAAAATACTGCAGGGGAGGGGAGGGCTCTGCTGAGGAGTCCCCAGCCGAGGACTTGCCAGCTGCACGGCCCGGTCTGTTCCTTCGGGGAGCAGCCGCGGCCCCGCTGGGCAGCGGCTCTGTTTACTTCTCTGTGGCATTTTTACACTGCCCAACAGACAAGGCTCTCTGGGCCATTACCAAAGTAAAACACAACAAAGCGCGCAAACAAGCAACAATTTAAAACACCCAACCACAACAGCTATTGCAACGGAACCGGCGTGGGAGGGGAGCAGAGCCGCGGTGCAGAAGAAAATGCGATAAAGTTTAAAAGTTAAACTGCTAAACTACTTGGGAAACAGAAAGCTCTTCACCTGGCACAGAAAATGCAAAGCAGGTGCCAAGCACACCTTTTGGGGAGCTCATTCCGCCAGGTGCCACAACGGAAAAGTCCTTCCTCCTGGTGGCCAGGAAAGGGGCTCCTGGAGTAGGGCCCCCAAAATAGACTTCAGGGTCTGGGCAAGGACCTACAGGTACCAGCCTGGCCCCAAGCGATCTGGGGCCTTGAATGCTCGTTAGCATCAGCGCTTGGAGTCAGCGCTGGAAGAGGAGGGGCGTGAGGTGTCCGCTCGAACACGCTCCCCGTGCCGCATGCCGTCCTGAACATTAGCGGCTGCACTGCCCTTCTGTGGATCAGTTGAGGTTTCTGGACGCTTTTCAAAGGCAGCCCCACACAGAGCGCATAGGGGCTCCCGCAGGCCGAGCGTGGACGCCACCGGGGAGCCACCGCCCCCAGCCGCGGCCTGCCCCTCCTGGGCCTGGGACCAGGGCAAGAGGGGGAACATCACTCTGCCGCCACGGTGCAGGGCAAAGGCAGGGGAGAACCTGCCGCCTCCCTCAGGTCTCCGGGCAGGGCCAGAGCCGGGCCTCGGCCTCCTCCTCGCGCTCCTGGATCCGCTCGACAGGACCGTGAGCATCCCGGGCCAACGGGCACCTTCCTCTTGGCTCTCTCTGCAGAGGGCAGTTTGGGGGAGGGGAGGGCTGACTCCCTGCCCCCATTTTGCAGCAGACGCTTCCCCAAGACTCTTCCCCCGCACAGAAATGAAGCTGAGAAGGGGAAATTCCATTGCTTGGAGATGCTCTGAGAATATCTTGCATGCAGATAAATCAGCTGCCTTTGCCTCCGTGAAATTCAAATAACAGAATAACAGGGGTGGTGTAAATGGTGCGGAAACTTCAACTGATGGCGGTGCAGCAGCCATGGCTTGGACCCCGACGGCCTTCTTGGCCCCTTCCAGCTCTATGTTTCTATGATTATTTTTAAACTGGCATATTTAGATCAAAATTTTGTCGATTTGTGTCCTATTGTTCCAGGCCCTGACTCTTTTGTGAGCCTAGCAACTACCCGGCCTCCAACGGGAGGGAAATGTGTTCATCGCTCACTTGCTTTTTTCTGAGTTGTTTCAGTGGAGTTCTCCAGTAAAAATCACAGATTTAAATACATTGTAATAGGGAAATAATGTTTAAAATGCAAGGTTACTTGCAACCAGCATGCTATTAGGCAAAGGTGCATACAAAACTGCATATATTAGGAGAAAAGAGCACAAAAACTATGAGTGTTCATGCAGAATTTGGAATGAACCAAACTTAAGACTGAACTTCCGGGGCAGTGTGAGCCTAGACCTTAAAAATGAGAAACTGAGAGGAAAAACTTCTGCAGCACTGCTTTACCACTTCATTGCTTTGGTGGCCACTGTAACCTTTGCTGGCCACCAAGACCAACCAAAAAATATTTAACCCCCCAAGGATGGGCGGTGGTGCTCCAGCTCCAGCAGCAGTGCGCCTTTGAGCATCAGCCTCTCTCTCTCTCTCTCTCTCTCTCTCTCTCTCTCTCTCTCTCTCTCTCTCTCTCTCTCTCTCTGTGTGTGTGTGTGTGTGTGTGTGTGTGTGTGTTGCCTCCACGCCCCATTTTTCAACAGTATCCTGCCCTGCGGGACCTGCAGTGCTCAGGCTGATGCACAGCTCCTGTGATCTCCGATGTGGCCCATCCTGGAACAGTCTGGGCAGCTGCCAGGCTGCGGGTGTACATGCACTCGCTCGCACACACGTGTGCGCAGAGTGGGGTGCCTTCAAGCCCTGAATGCCCAAGCTAGAGTCCCTGGAGGACAACTCCTCCAGCCAAGCACGCTGCTGCCCGTTTCGCCCTTCTGCTCAAACGAAGCGGCCCTTGGCTTGTTTGGCGGCATCGCCATTTAGAAACGTAGAAACAGAGCGAGTCAGAAGGGGCCTCCTAGCCATCTAGTCTGACCTCCGGCACCAGCCGGCTCCACTCACGACATGCCCACCATGTGCATCTCCAGCCTATTTTTGAACACCCTCCTCGATGGGTCCTCAACCACCCCCCGTGGAAGCCCATTCCACACCCTCGGGGTCCTGACTGTCAGGAAGTGCTTCCTGGCATCCAAATGGAGCCTGGGTTCCCTGAACTTTGCTCCATTGGAGCGCATCCTCCCTTCCTCTGCAGGGGAGAACAGGGCTCTTCCCACCTCCATGTGACATCCCCTCACATACCTGTATGTCGCCAACAAACCCCTGGCCAAAGCAGCTCTTCCTGTGGGGTGGGGGGGAGCGCTAAACCCAGAAGCATCCCCAGGCGGCTGCCCTTGTGGGAAGAGCACAAAGGCAGGGCAGAGGGAAGCGCCAAGAAGAGCGCCAGAGCACGGGGGGTGCCCGGGGATGAGGAGGCCCGCTTCCCGGAAGACGGCGCTGTGGACAACCATGGCGCCGGTTGGCCCCTTTGCCACATCTCTCTGCCTGGCTAGCCGTTTCCGTGGCTCTTCAGTCTCACCGTGGAAAGGAGCCCCTCTCCAGACGCCCAGGCGCGGAGCAGGCAGCACGATTCCGGTCCAGTCGCTCTTCTCCAGCTTAAACTGCCCCATGGGGTCCCTGGGAGAAGCGGTCATGAGGGAAGCGGCCAGGTCCCTTCCTCAGCCCTTTCTGTGCAACTGCTCCGAGGGACTCAGAAGGGCCTGGGTGGGGACGATGGGAGCTGCAGTCCAACAGAGCTGGCGGGTGCCGGGCAGGGAAGGGGCTTCAGCAAGCAGAAGCAGGTTGGAGGCCGAGCCCAAGATGCCAGTGACGCTGCTGCAGGTCCAGCTGGGCGGAGATCCCAAGACGCGGCTGCCTTGGCACGGCCAGAACCGCCCCTCCGGCCAGGCGGGGACGCCGCGGCAGCACCTGGCACACGTGCGCGGAAGCCACGGAGCGAGACGACGGGGCCAGGGAGCAAAGCCGGGCGACGCGGCGGGAGAGCGAAGGAAGGGCTGCCTGCGCCGGGGCGGCTGGAGGCTCGTTCGCGGGTCTCTGTGCCTCGGGCGGCCCTCCCGGCACAGGGCTCCCCCGGCTCCGTCCCGTCCCGGGCTGAGACACGCAGGTCGCGGCAGGCCCTGCGTGGCCCAAGCGGCCACCCTGCCTGAGGGACGTGGCGGCCCGCCAGGCCTCGCCCCCCACAACAGCCGCAGAGCGCCCAGGCGTGGTGCAAGGGGGGAAGCGCTCTGCGGCCCGCGCTCGACAGCTCCGCTGTGGTGGGAGGGAGGGAGGTGGTGGCGGCAGCCCCCGAGGGTGCTGGGTGAGCCCCACTTGAAGATGCTGGCCCCCGAGGGTGCTGGGTGAGCCCCACTTGACGGGCTGAAAGTGTTTCCCGTTTGCCGAAGCCAGAAGAGGCCCGGGAGGGGTGCAAAGCGGCTCTTTGGTTCGCCTCGCAGGGGCCGCGGAAGGCTGCTCCCAGGCGAGCTGCGTGGCCTGAGGACAGACCTCGCCCCCAAATGGAGGGGAGCAACCCAGCGGGCGCGCTCAGGCACCCCAGGCAGGACCAGGGGCCAGCTGGGGACAGGGCCTCTTTTGCCCAGGGGCCAGGGCAAAGCACACACCGGCTTGCAGGAATGGGGAGGTGCTCTCAAAGGTGTGGGGGGGTGAGGCACAACCCAGGTTACCCTCCCTCATGGCAACAAACTGACCCCCGGACGAGTTTCCACTTCCGCTTCCATCCTCCGCGCTGCGGGGGCCTCTCCACGCCCGGGCCAGCAAGAGGGCCCCTGCCCCCCTTCTGGCTCCCCCCTTCCTCCTTCTGCGTTTGCCCCAACCCTCCCCTTGAAGGTGCTCGCTGGCAGCCACTCCCGCCCACTCACCCTTCTCCTCACAACAGCCCTGCCAGGTAGGCTGGGCCGAGGCAACCCGGCTCTCTGAGCAGAGGGCCCATCATGCCCCCCTTGCACACCGGCGCAAGGCCACTGCAGGCCCGGGTGGCCACAGGGCAGGGTGCGAGGACCGAGCCCGGGGGGGTGTCCGGGCAGCCCCACACGCTCTCTTGCAGAGGGGGTCCGCCTGGCAGCGCTGCCCGTCTCCCTCGGGTGCGTGGCGGGGAAGGAGGCAGCGCGGTGGGGGGGCTGAGCCAGGAGGCGCACCGGGGTGCCGGCGGGCCTGGCAGGGGAGCGGAGGGCTCTGTGGCCAATGCCCACCCTCCCGGGGCAGCTCCCCGCTGGCCCCCCCGCCCCCTCCCACGGCCCCTCCCCATGTTGCCCAGCACTCCAGGCTGGGAGCGACCGCTCCTGCCCGGGGGGAAGGAGAGGACCCCTCGCCTGCGGAAGGAGTGGTCCCGGGGCCGGCCGGGGGCGGGTGAGCTCCAGCACCTGCTGGCCTGAACTCTCGCGCTGACCTGTGCG